TCATTGTATATTGTTTTCCTTGCTTTTTCACCTTTGTGTACCAGCTACCCAATGTCGCTGTGCAAGAAACAGCACAATGACAATAAAAGCTCTAAAGTCAAAAGCAAATTAATATTTCAATTTTTTTTAATTATCAAAAGTCTGAATAAATGCTCCATTTTCAAAAGGGTTAAAGCTGTGCAAGCCATTCTAGATAAAACAGACACAGTTAAGAAAAGAATAAGTAAAAGCTTCCTTCTTAGGCGTAATAGTGTGGCAGATCAAACCACCAGAATCGTCCTGGTATTAATTCCGTTTCTTCAGAAGGGACACGAGTCTGACATAAGTCAGAGAAATACTCTGTGGGGTCTTCACTTCTGTTACACATCTGGACGTGGATGTGCGAGGTGATCCCTTGGTAAACGCTCTGCATGGGCAGCATTGTGCCAATCTTCTCACCCTTATCCACCGTTCCTGAGGTTTTGATTGGCTTCACATAGAAAAGTTTGAAACAAAGACCTGCAGGACACAAACACAACCACTCAGTCATTAAATCGAAACCAGGATCAATAACACAATCAGTAACAAGATGGGCGGTGGACTGACCTTCTCCTGAGAGGTTGATGCCCTCGTCGATAGCTTTCTTATTGGGGTCATTATAGACAATCAGGCTCCCTTTGATTGTCACATCAAACGGGGCTAAGACATCTGAGCCGTCACTGCACTCGATGTCCACACCTTTGTGAAGTATCCCACACCCGAAATCCAGCAGACATCCAACTGTGAGCAGCTGCTTCACATCATCCAGCCTTACATTAAAAACAAAAATGTGTTCACAGCTTACCGCGAGGCTCCGTAGTGTCCCTCTCCCCAGCTGTCTGATGTACTCTGGGTGTTGCATACATTGTCACTGCAGAGCTGACCGAACTTAACAGCATCACACATCCACACCACAGCTGGAGATACACAGAAATACTCAGACTTTCATAGATGCAACCTTAACGTTTCATTTTAAATCTTATCAATAAACTAAATTTGGTCATCTAAAAACAATTTTATTAGCTGATTGGTTAAAGTTTTACTTAAACAGTTTATAAATATGCTAATTAAATGTGCATTCAGGTAAACAGACACAAGCCCAAATGTAAGTTTATGTTTTTTTGACGAAAGTTGTGTTTTAAGTTCATTTTTTCTTCTGCTCTCGTGTCATTCGCAGTGAATTTTTATACGTTATATGTTGTTGGTAGGAACACATTGAATGCATAAAACCACCGAAACATTCAGAAATATTGACGTCTAACAGGTTTAACATGTAAACGGCTAAATCGCTGTTGGGATTTCCTCACCCAGTAAAACGAGGATGCGTCTCATCTTTAGACCTTCAGCTTTGATCCAGATACTGAGTTTCTGCTGTTACTCTCACAGCATTTATAGCCTGCAGTTTGAATGTGTCAGCAGCTAAAAACAAACACATTCTGGAGTTTTGATTATTCAAATGTTGATGATGAAACTCTTGAGTCTGTTTGTGCTTGTGTTGCATCACTTGGTTACGCAAGTAATCCCAGTATTTACAAATCTGAGTCTTTATTAGGGTCCAGGGGCCCGTTCTTCGTACCTCGCTAAGTAAGTTAGCTGGATTAGATTGTTGACGATTTCGCGTGATC